GTTCATCATGACATTCCTCACAACTGAGTAGTCTTCCCAACTGTCCAACTGTGGTATCGCCAAGATTTCATCTAGAAACCAGTCAGCTGAGATCACAAAGTGTGACCTCTGTCATGAACCATCGAGAGATACTACTACTGAAAGCCTGAGTAGTCTCATATCACTCAAGCTGATCTATAGATTTCGCCAGGAAGTTGGACACTAACTACACCACATCAAAAGTTGACTGCAGTTGCGAAATGAAAACCATGAAATTCAAACTAGGAGGTCAGCTGCCAATATGCTTCATGAAAGACTTAGAGATCATTCATTCTGTTCCGTGGGGAGTCACAGGCTGATGTGAAAGAATGTATTCACCAATTACATCCATAATGGCTTGTGACTTCATGGAACTCCTTTATCTGATTTATATAACTTGCCGCGAATACATAAAATGATCCACTCACCGTTTCGCAAATCTAACTGTTCATTAGCGAAACAGTTAGGAATGATCCATAGGTTTAAAGGTAGCTTTCAATTTGTGCAATATTTAGAATAAATTGGAATATTCCCGGTAAATTTATGGTATCATTAGGTTTATCTCCCTAACGCACAAACATTAACTTACGAAAAATCATAGAGATGATATATAAACGCTGCAATCTTGCCTTATCGAAAGAACAAATCTATTTTGAAAATCTCTCATTTCGATTTCAAGTCGGTATTCACTATGGATTGGTGAAGTGATAGGTGCGTGCTGCTGAGGAGTCCCTCACTAGGGAGAAACAATTGCTTAGTGCTCTCAAGTGTCCAACACTTTTCCAGTTGATGTCACTTCACAACGAATACCAACTTGAAATCAAGAAATCTCTATAAACTTCCAAAGTGATTCTTAGTTAGATGTTGATGGATTTGTAATGCACAGCCTTTCGGTTTTCATAGTACTTCATAATTTTCTGTGTTATGCTAAACTAGCTAAAATGATTAGTGGTATATGAATGACACCCTCTTTTTGACGTGTGATCATCTCAAACATGATTCTGATCTGCTAGAATTTTTCATCAAGCTTACTCGAAGTCATAATTTACAACAGGCGACAAGTTTCATTTCCTAAGTCTTAGTATTCAGTGCGCTAAAGATAGGAAGATTGTGATATTTGCTCTTCAGTAAGTTGGATAGCTGGGAATCTACTTAAATTTTAACGGATTCCGTTCAGTAAGCTGTAAGATGTTGGTATATATTCTTAGCAATCACTCAGGGAAAATTCATTGACAAAAAAGTTCAAAATAGAACTGACTGTTATTTAGAAATACTAAATTCGTGACCTGTACCCGGAGAAGCGCATTTAAATGTGATGTACAGCCCCAAACCAGAAAATGAAAGCTGAAAGAAGTAGAAAAAACCTCTCATTTTACATCCTGGCACGAAGCATGACAAAACTGTTAGAATAATCAGCTGTGAACTAATTTCCTTACTAAAAAGTTTTGATCAAACCACTCAACTTGTCCGAATGTATGGAAAATATCCCTTGCCAAATTTTAAAGAAGATAGGAAATTGATAAATGGCCTTTTCACACTACCGACAAATATATTCAACATTTCACACATAAGTATCGAGGCTCTCCACTGTATGAACAAACAGAACATGTTCTGAAGAACTTGAAACCTGAAGATGCGTATTTCTATAGTAGCATGATCTCTCACCACCGAGGAGTAGCTGCATCGACACTACTGAGGATGATTAGTAACCAAGAGAAGTTGGGCTCACCGAGTTCCGTCGAATGACTCAAAACGAATCTAAGCATTTGAAGTGAGGTGGTTATCAATCCTTCTGTGGTGGTACGCAACACCATCATCTTTCCTCTTTTTACTTTCCAGATTCGTTTCTGAGCTCTGCTTCATCCTATCCTTTGTATTAGCGGAAATACTCTGTATAACACTTATCCATGACGTTAGCTTTCCATGTCAATACATTTTCTGTCATTCTTCTCCAACTGTAGTTCGTACCTCTTTCAAACTCATCAAGTGGATGCACTGTATGAATTTCAGCGCACTACTAAAGAGTTCAAACCAGGACGGAACGGCTGTCCAGTGCTCCCAGGTTTTCATAGGTTCTCTAACTGACGTCAATTCATGATAAAAATTGCTTTCAATTTCCCCTAACCAACAAATGAAAAGAATATCAGTTAATTTAAGATAACCATAGCATCCGCTTCCGGGTATTTAAGCATGAAAGTTACAAATGTTCACTTTAGAAAGAATGCTACTTCTGTTGCATCACAGATTCGTTACAAAGTCGACCGAGCTTCTTCTTAGTTTTAGCCAATCAGAATCTTCCTACCATTCAATTTCACTCCTGATTGGCTAACTACAGGAATTCGGAAGCTAAAATAAGAGTTAAATACGAACCAATCAGAATTCAAAAGCTCACTGTGATTCAGATTACGCTATGTAACGAGAATTTTAATTTAGGTTGACCTGTCACATCATTTTGGAATAATAATTTTCAGTTGCAGGTAATTATTGAAAATTTCTATTCCTTCCTAAGCTTACAATTTTCACTATTATTGTTAAGAACAGTATCAATTTTTGTAGAACCCTCTAATATTTCAAGCTACTGGACCAAATACACAAATAAATTCATTTGTTTAGTAGAAGTCATGCCATACGTTGAACTCGCAAACCTACTCATTCTTAGAATTTCGTTGTCTTGAATAACTTGCTATAGTTAGTTGTGTTTCTTTTTTGAATCGATGATTTCGCATCCTATGCACTGCTCTGGATGGTTTAACTATCCAGCTCAGGGAACACAACACTACCAAAATAAAGGGATAGCTGGGTAACACGCACCCACCTAACAGTGTGGTAAAATGTCTGGTGATCGAAGTGGAGTTTGTTAGGTAGTTTTGAGCTAGTGACCTGGAGACCTATGGCCTATAGGTAGAATCCTGCCACAGCCCAGGTTTTCATTTCACCTTCAATCATCAACTATATATGAATTATATTAGTCTACAGAATCCCGTTTATCCATGACGGCCATCAGTAGGATTGTCCTCTTGACTAATCCAGTGGTTTCTATAAAGTACCCTCACTAACAGTTGCATAAGATTCAGTTATCACCGAGGTTCACTTAGTTCAAACGGAGCAAGGGGTATTTCTCATTATTGTGTTACCATATAGCTTACTGAATAAGTTTTGAGGATAAAAACTGAATACTAACACTGGATTTTTCAAGAACCTCTATTTACACTGTGCAAACAAAACTCAAATGGGACTGTACCTCTTTTGAAAACCTGAGTTAACTTGTCCACCTTCATTTGCGTCTGTTTTAAACTCACCTGTAAGAAACATCGGACACTGGTGCTTTTCGTTTGAATAGAATATGGGTAATCTCCTTTGTTAACAACAAGGCAGTAGGTCAAAATTAACTTCTACCTAGGGACAGCATATGAACTGCGATCGTGTAAAGTTATCTCCGTTTCCTTCGTTACCCAAAATCAAAGTGAATTAAATAACTGCTAAAAATGCATAATTCAGCAGAGAACCTGGCGTATAAAGTGCACATATATCAGTCAATGTCCCCTCCTTACCATAGGTGATAATTTAACACCCATACATTAAGTTCTGTCCCGAAGTTGATGTAAAATATTGTTATGAGTTGCAGCACCTCAGTGGCAAAATTCATATTATTTTACACAATATAAATTGCTTTTTTACGGATATATCTATTGTCTACTATGTCAAAGATAATCTTCGTCGGAACCCATAGTTCTTATTCCTCAATCGTAAAACAATCCACTACGAGTCTGTACAGAATCATATGCTTATGCTACAAGATACGCCTAACTGGTTGAATAAATCTTGTTAGGCTGAGTGACGTCCATACCTTTGGCTTACAGACTGAAGATGGGATGTGTAAAGTAATCAGCCAAAGTAACACTGGCTTGCTAATACATTAAAGGATGGTTAAACTTTTGTAGTTACAGCCAAGAACTTTTGAGGATGATTATAAGTTAACCGAAATGAAAATTAAGTCTAGCTGTTTATGTGTACAGTATTTCGGTACCTTTTATTCACATTTTACTATTTTGTCTTAGCAGAATGTTGGTAGCTGTCATTAATAATGGTAAATAAAATCAGCATTTTGTATTTTATATAAACTCAAACTGTGTTTCGAAAACTTGGGTTACAAAGACAGAGAAGAAACGAATTACTCAAGCTTTTTGTGACTTCAGTCACCACCACTTAAGTGAATACATCTACGAGTGAATAACTGTTTCAGACAGCATAATTAATTTCTTTAAAACAAGGTTTAACTGTCAAAATATATTACTACAGATATTCCCATAACTATTGACGTCAGTTAGAAAGGCTAATGGGAAAATTCAAGGTGAATTATGCCGCCTTAGAGATCCACTCCAGCCGTCCATCCTGCTTAGCTGCACATAGAATCACTTGACCTGGATGTCATATCATTACAGGTGCGTGGTTGAATCATTGAGGAGAGCATCAGTTCTTACGGGGTTCTAGAAATTTCTAGCCGGGTGAGTGCCAACAGGTAGGAAACCTAAATCGATCAATGGAAAATGATCGATACTAGGAATGGAACAAAATGACATTGTTTTTGTTCTACATTAACAAATTAGTTTTTATTTCGTGGCAGTAGTCGGAAACTGCTGACAAATGGATTCCAATGCATTGGATGAATGGGGTATCCTGTTCGCCACAAGGCCTGGCAATCCTGGACGTGATCTCTCTCGCAGTCATGTGTGTATGTTCCCAGTGCTGAGAAGTCCCAAACTACTAAGATTCTGCTGTCCAGTGTTCCTGGTTGACATAAATCTATCATGAAAACTAAGTGGAAATCAATCAATTAGTTTTCGAAAAATCCGTAATTGAAAATTGTTTATATTTAATTATTTCATGTCCTTCATGATGGTATAATCTACTGACTGTTGTCTTTTTTTCTTTTCTAAATCTCATTTTAGTAGTATACATTCTATTAGTGTGTATTTCTAGTAATGTCAACCACAGTTCAGACAAATGTCAATGATTCACTTGTAGATGAACCTTCAATGAAACGTACAAAATATATAACTGATACACTGGAAAATAATGAGGAGAAATTCAATCATAATAAATCTTTGTTTGCATTAAAAGAGAAGAAAAGTACAAAACCACCTGTAACTACAAATCTTCTATCGTCATGTTCAGATACACAGTCATATTTGAATGTATATGAGATGTCCAACAGTATGGATAATGCTTCTTGTCTAAACTTACCAAAGTGTAGTGAGTGTAATTAATTTATTGTAAACAATTTTTTGTATTGTCATTTAAAATAAACTGGATCGCGGTCGCATTCAAACTAGCGACCACCGGGTTACTGACCGGTGCTCTACCAAATAAGCTACGCGGTCTAGATTTTCATATCACCTCCAATCATCACCCAGTACAAATACTAGTCTGTCAAACTACGGCTATCTTAGATAGTCAAATCAAAATCAATGTGATGCTCCCCATCTCTAATTCACTTAGACTTGGATTAGGATGAGAAGTCCTGACTAGACAGCCAGTGTGAATACGATTAAGCGATAGTAACGCGTCACGAATTCACATGGTAGTCGGGCAAAACCCCTGGTAATTGAAGTGAAATAAAATTCTGGTCAGCAGTCGGACCTCGTAGTTCAGTTGGTAGAGCGCCTAGCCGGTAGCCCGGTGGTCACTGGTTCGAATCCGGTCGCAGTCCAGATTTTCATCTCACCCTCAATCATCACCCAGTACTTAAGCATTTAACTAAGCCTACTTTACGGAGAATTCTCAATAAGGCTGGGATTAAAGTGACATTTAAACCAACAAACTCGCTTAGAAACAAAGTTTGTATGTTAAAAGATCCTATTGATGCAATTAAGCTAAATAATCTGCTTTACTAAATCCCTTGCAATGACTGCAAGGTCAAAAACATAGGTCAAAGTAGTCGAACAGGTTCGATTAAAATGACAGAGCACAAAACTAAGTTAAATCAAGGTTTATAGATCCTAATAAGATAAGAAATTTAGAAAAAAAGCTGGACTATATCTCTGCATGCAATTGCACACAATCACACAAGTGGGTGGGATAGAGTGACAGCGTTAAAAACTTACCTAGGTGAGTGGAGGGAGAGATTGATGACCGAATCTTTGTTTATCGAATCAACACATGTAGTAACAGAAATGATTTTGCACCTGTCCCATATGTATGAAAAATTCTACTACCCTTGTCATTCGTCACAAAAAAGAAGAGAGAATCAGAACTGTATAAGCCATGTCTTAAAGTTGTGGAGTTACCTTATATGAATATGGACAATAACCTGTGTTCGAAACGTTATCCAGTAAATGCTACTGTTTCACTGTGTGACATTTCTAATAAACCGACTAAAATGGAATTTGTTGTATTGTATTTACTCTCAAGGCTTCCCGATGAATAACTCCAAACACTAGAATGTAAACGTGATCCATGAACTTTCATCCGCACAGGAATTGACAGCTAAGTGGGTTACCGTCCAGCAGCTGATGCATCTACTATCGAACCCAAGCGACTCAGAAATAAAAAAAGAGTAGACTATAGATTTCTCCTTACTATCTCGGTTGTTAATAAACATTTTTTCAGTTGTTTTGTTTCATGACCAACTTTTCAACTGTCTTTTACAACTGAATTCAACACTCCACACGTGAGACGGATGGCGAGAAAGGTGTACAGGACTCTAGAAAGAAGTTGCATAGAAATAGTGAATTTGATTAATTCCGTAAAAGATGATAACAGATTATCGAGGTGATGTCATTGACGATTGGTTGAGTTAGATTACTGATTGAAATTAAAGATCACAGGACTGAACAGTTTAGCATCAATAAGTTATCATATTCATTAGAATCTACGAAAAAATGTATAACACTAGAGTAACCGACGGTTAAACTGATTCAAGCTAGAAATCTAATGAACAAACTCTAAACCAAAGTCTTTTATGTATTTCGAGATGAATGGGGATTTTAAATTTGAGGTAGTATTCGTCATGGACTGACATCTGTTATGGAACCATTGAAACCCGGAAGCATCGGACAGCTGTTTCATCCTAGGATGGGACTCCTCAGCAGCACACCCACAACCCACCTAGGGATCGAACTCAATACCTTCATGGTTCGCCACGAACGTGCTAACCATTCAGCCACTGGGTTGGAGTTCAGTGGTTTGAAGTTTCCAACTTATGTCAATTCACGATATAGCGTGACTATCACCTAAGGTCATTAGTTGACATCCGTTTTTCTTCTGACTAGCTGACCCTACAGGTCACGGTTTCCCACTGGAACTATGTGATATCCATCAGGAAGCATGTCATCAATGAACAAAATACAGTAATGTATTTTGAGATGAATAGTTTCCCAACCGATATCAGTCCGTGAAGAATGCTACTTCAAAGTCTTTTATCTCAGACCTTTACATCTGACTGCTTGTTTTGTTCCACTTCCAGTACTCTTCTTCTTCAAGGTTGCTGTCCAGAAAAATCACACCTTAAGAAAGTGAAGAATTTTCACAGTTTGTTTGCAATAATTTTGTCAAAATTTAAAAAAAAGAGGAGACATCTCGCTTCCTATTCTCAAATTTCATATGAATCAGGCAGTCCTCATTACTAGCGCTTACTTTCCTCACCCTTTATTATTATTATTATTATTGTCATCATTATTGTCACCACCACCTTGTCAAAGAAATGGCGTTGAAAGGATAAAACATACTAAAAAGCTTGAAATGAAATAATTTACTGTCGAGAATTAAACCCCAAATGTTTTAGTTGCTATGTTCTTTAAATCTACATTTGAAATAATTAACTATGTCAATAACCTGGAAAAGAAAGAAGGATTTGTCTTCTTCACTAAAATGCAAATAGTTTTATTGACTTAAACTAAAAATTAACGCAGAGATTACATAGAAAAGATGGCGCAATCTAAACAAGTTTGAAACTATTAATCAGAATAGATAGTCCTACTTGATAGACTATTCTTGTTCTACAGCTTGATGACTGAGGTTGGAGCTGAAAGCTCAGCTAGTGATCGGATTCGAACCACTGGTCTCTAGCCCTATGCTGTACTAATATTACACTTGGGTGGAATCTGTCAGTGACTACACTGAGAATAGAATAGGGATGGTGGTTGAACATTGTAGGTCAGCCGTCAACAGGTCTGCGTCTTGAATCCTGCTGAGGCTTAAATTGTCGTTTCAGGTTTGTCCATCATACGCGTAAATTGAGAAAACTTTGAAATTATTCTCCCGCTGATTTGAACTAGCTCTAGTTTATATAAAGATATCCATACTAACGGACAATAACATTTTAGAGCTACAGAAGGACTCCCACAAGTAGTTTGAAGACTACTGGCTCGGCGTTCAGCGGGGCAATCTAATGTCAGAACACCCATCCTTGTGATACTTGAGAGAATACTTGGTACTTGAAGTGATAGTGAAACGTGATTAGTAGACATGTCTTGTAGCTTAAGTGGTAAAGTAATCAGGTTGTAATCCAGGGCCACTGGTGGAGTCGCACTACAATGTACATTTTCTGTCCGTGCCGATCACCGTCGCTGAATACGAGGCCTGAAAGTATCAACAAGATTAATAGCATCAGTAATGTTAACTGATTTCTGGTTTGAATAGTAAGCATTGCTCAGTCGCACGGACAACATGTGCTGAAATCTCCAGTGATACGAATCCCAATTGTCAAGGTTTTTTGTTAATTTACGTTAACTATAAGCATGTGTAGGAGTTTAAACCATTTTAGGGACAATTACTAATTTTTGCATTGATGTTGACAGCGTTTTAGTTAAATGGTTAGATGGGAATTGATTGCCTTGAAAGCAATATTTCATGCGAAACAAAATTACCTGTTTTATCACAGTGTTGTATTTGCCAAAGGACCGGAAGATCCTTTCCTCTGTTCTGCAAAGAATTGCGACTGTGGATTACTGATGCTTACAAAAATAGTGTAAAAATAGCATTTCCGTTTCCAGTGATAGATCTGTATTGGTTTACAAAACGGTAACTGTCACTCCCATCAACTGCCACTGAGCTACATAATCTGATGGCGCATACATCTCATTCCTCAAGGGATTTCTTCCAATTTTTGGTAGAAATCTCAAATCCAAATGTAAATATGTATCTTCATTGGTATGTGTAGATACTTTGAAATGATTAGTTGTAACCATAGTGAAACAAGTAATTTTGGTTGTTTTGTTGATCAACACCAAAAAGCAACTTCTTGGAGTCAGTACAAATCCTTAAGCCTGAATTTAATACTTGTCAACATAAAAGTACAGAAAAATGTAGGCTTTATCAGAGTTTGTTGCTCATACCATCATCTAGCAAACCTATTTGTGTACGACTTCCCCCTATGTGGACTTGTCTAAGTCAGTTGTTACATACAGTAATGCCTTACAGTTAAGAAAACAAGTTCTGAATTTCTATTCTTATTTAGAAATGAAATGAAATGCAAACACATTCGTTAAGCAGAACTGTCTTCGGCTTACTAACCTGAAACATAGCAAAGAAAGTATTGCCGTTTCTCAAACCTCGTTTTTATCAAATATGTGTCAATCTTTATTCACCGTGATGAAATAAAATTTTTCAATCTTTCGAGTTTCAGATAGTAGGCAGTGACGGAAAAATAACCAGTTGTTAGGTAAATTTCAATATCATTACAAGCTGGTATCAGACAAAATAACAATAAAGATCAACGAGGAATGACTGGTTGTTTCAAGCTGCCCAGGTATTCTGTAGTACAAGTTGACACCATTTCTAAGACCGATCAGTACTAGTTGGCTGGAGGCAATCACCAGGAAGTTCTGGACCTAGGTTTCATGCTTGTTAGTACTCGTCAGTGAGGCGCATCTGCAGCCTCGATGTGACTGATTTCCCCTGTGAGGTTCGAACCCGCGTTGTCCAATGATGCAGTCAGAGACGTTACCGCTGAGCTATTCTGACCACAAATGACCTGCTGCAGGATTCGATACACTTATTGGTCACTGGGTGCAATCAACTTCCCGCTGCCTAGTATTAAGTGAAGACCGAATTTTACTGAATCGCACAAATGACATCACTTCCCTTTAAGTTGCAGATACGCCTTGCTGACGAGTGCTAATAAGCGTGAAACCTAGGTCCAGGGCTTGGAGCCGAATGCCTCCAACCAACAAATATCTATCAGTGTGCACCGCGATGCTGAGCCTTCTAGCTAGGTGGCCAAACTGCAGATATGATCGACAGGATTCGATCTAGACTTAGAACTAAACAATATGAAGTTGCTTGCTCTCCAGTGACCAACTAATGTAACTCATCAATGCTGGTACAGAGGGTAGTTCATAATCGACTATGATTTGAGTTTTAAAACTGCACAGCGGTGAATTGTGAGATGAATTTTTTGGCATACTAAAAGTAGAACAATAAAGAGTTGCTAAAATACTACAAAGTAACCAAAATTATTTGTTTAAGCAGCTGACAATAGTTTTCGACTAGGAGTAGCACGATTCTGACGAAACCCGCGTTCCTTACGAAACGAACACCATACAACCTATAATATCAAGTCATTAAATAAACTGTTCAGTGTTTAATGTGTTTCTAACAAACTATCATTTGTTTTTACATTTATTCGTTTGAATGATGTGTAGATTATTCAAACGCTTATATTTACCTTCCCGATGTAGATTATGATGGCTCTAAATATAACTGGTTGGAGTCCACTGACAGTCATAACCGAATGGGTAAGTGTAATAACAGTGAAACGAAGTTAACTGATCATACATGTGAAGAATTATTCACCTAAGTTGAGAGTTAAATGACTACTTTTTTTGATGAATATATGCGTAGAATAAGAGGATTTATCCAGTACTTTTCTGAGCTCACATATATTTCAACAAGAAACACAAACTTTTACTTGTTGATGCTTTGCCTACACCATGCTGAGTTATTTGACTGTGAACCGTTCATTATTTTACTAGATAAGAATGTTGAAACAATGTTCGCATTAGTTTGATTATATTGCAAGCAAGAAAATGCGTACGCAACGATAACCGACCACTTCGGTCCAGTAATGCGAACAACAAAATGTTGCTGGAAATAAATACCTGTGGTACGGAAGGTGGCATTCAAAACACATTAACCTGGTCGACAGCACTCTGGTATATGAAACAGCGGGTATCGAGTCTTATGGGAAAACTTAGGTACTGGGATTCAGCTTCAAACACTTGATGAACCGTAAAGTAGAATGGATTTCATTGCTAGCAACCACCAAATAAACACCATTAATGAATAATCTTAACATAGATCTTTGTACACCGCACACACTACTAAAATTAAAAAGTAAATAAAAACTACAAGGATGTAACCATAAATACGAATATACGAAGTGCACTAATTATTTTTATTATTTGTCTCTTGGGTTCCTAATGCAACATCGAGATTCAGCAGAACATCGCCATTCCACTCTCTTCTCTCCAGTCTTTTCAACCTCACTCCACCACTACCCACAAGCTTTCATTTATTCCTCACACCATCTCCTCCATGTCACCCTCAACACCGACACTCAACTCGTCGTTTCTCATTTGAATTCCACTCGAGCGCCTCGTCTCGCTCATGATGTCCCACAATCGTCTCCTCAGTGTATGCCAGATCCAATCCATCTCCACTCTCCTCTACACATTTGTTGGGTGATGCATAGGTTCTTGGTTGGTTCGTCGCCAGACAGACAGACAGACAGCCAGCCAGCCAAACTTCCTTGTTGCTCATTCCTATTATTCTGGTCATCTGATCTTCATTGTCAGTCTCCAGTGAGCGTAGGTGGCAGTAGTTGATGATGTATGTCTGTAGTTTGTTGGAAATGCTTTTCGCGACACGCCAACTCTCCAAACCACCACATAGAAACACTGACTTGACTGACTTAGTGTTGAAAATCCGGATCTCGTTGACGCTTCATGCTGAGTGGAGTGCAATGCAATGCAATGCAATGCAGTGCAGTGCAGTAGATCTCCACAATGATTTCAGATGAATGAAGGAAGGCCTGTCTTGCTATCTTTTCAATTCCAGCTTTGATGTCCTCATCTGTGCTTGTGCCACATGTGGTTGAAACGAGGCTGCCTATATAATTAGATAGGTAGGTAGGTCGATGGGTGGGTGAAAGAGACTACTTCTTCTAGATTTCTCCCATTGATGGTGATGGGTGCTTGTTGTTGATGATGCTGTTGTAGTTGTTGGTTGGGTATCCTCATCACCTCTATCTTCTCCACGTTCACATGAATGATGTCTCGTCTTCCTTCGCTGCCTCACCTCGCCTCTTCTGCCAACTTGTTCGTATTCGCCTATAGATCTTCGAGTTTGTGCGACAAGACGTTAGACATAAGTCATCATCGTTGGTGAAATCCAGACCTCCTTCTGAGGTCTTTTCGTCGGTGTGGTCAGCGTATGCCCATCATCTCGCTCCTCACAGCAGTCTGTTGCATGACCCACTCCAGTCCAGTCGACCACAATCAACATGATCATCGGTGATGATAGTATGTGGTAGCCTTATCTTACTCCTGTCTTCATTTCAATGGCATCATTGAGCTTTTCATTGTGAGTCACTTGGCCATGGCATGCAGCATCATATAGCATAGCATATAACTGTTGAATGACGTTGATAAAGGTTTGTGGCACTGAAACCGTAGTGTTGATTCAGCTGCCTGCCAAATTACTTGTCGGTCGACGCTATTGAAGGCCTTTTCAAAGTTGATGAAGTTGAGGTAGAGTGTTGACTGGCATTCTATGCTCTGTTCTATGATGATGCTTAGTGTCGCAATTTGATCCTCACATGATTTGTTTTTCCTGAAGCCAGCCAGCTAGCCTGTTCCGGTGGTAATTTTGAATCCAGTGCATTCTTTGGTCTCACCAGGATGATGCGGTATAATATTTTGCTTAGGGTGGAGAGGAGTGGATCATGATCCCGCGTCAGTCCTTGCAGACACTTAGGTCTCTCTTCTTTTGACTTTGACAATCTGCAGGTGCCTTTCCTTCCCTCCTTCCTTTCTTCCTTCCTTGCAAACCTTCTGCAATAGTGGTTTGACCTGTCCGCTGCTCTTGTCTCTGAGTCTGTTTTCAGTGCTTCTGGTGGAATTCCACCTCATCCTGCTGCTCTCCCAGATTTCAGCAACTTTATGTTGTGCAGGAGGTCGGCTTTTATTGGAGGTCTTGTGTTCACTGACAGTTGTGTGGCTGGGCTGCTGGTGGTATCTGTGAAGGAGTTGCAAGTGGTGGTGGTGAAGGTGGTGGTGGTAGTGGTATTGGTTGACTCAAGAGTTTTTTGAAGTGGTCAGCTCATCATCTCCTTTGTTCCTCCTCTCTCTTTGCTAACTAGGTTCCTTCACTATCTTTCATTGGTTTCACCTGTGTTGATCTCTTCCCAGATAGTATTTTGGTCTCTCCTACCTGCAGCCTGTTCCGCTTCACTTGCCAGTGTGTCGTAGAAGTGTCTGTTGTCTTTGCGCACACTCTTCTTCACTTCTCTGTCCAGTTGTACTCAGTTCCTCTTTGCCTTGTTCATCCCTGCACTGCCCTGCACTTCACTTCACTTCACTGAACTTCACTGCTTTTTCTTTTGCTTAACTATCTTACTCTCCCTCCTCTATCTGCTTCCATGTGTCCATCGAGATCCATTCCTTGTCTTGCCTCTTCCTCTTCCTCTTCCTTCCTAATACGGTTATGCAGGTTTCTTTCCACATCTCTTCCAAAGAGTTTTAGTGTTCATCCACACAGGTTTCTTCATGGATATTGCTCGATATCTCCCACTTTGTGCTGATGTCTGACGTGAAGATGTCGTTTGTAGTTTCGTCTTTCGGTTTAGTTTCTGTTCAGGGTGTTGAACTTGAACTGTGGTCTATCACCAGCTTCTCTGATGGCTCTCAACTTGATTTTGAAGGTAGGTTCCTTGCACTGGAAAGTGGTATGAGTGGTGTGAACCTACATCTGCTCCCCTTCTTCATCTGATCTTGCGTCCAGTAAGCTGCGTCTCCACTTTCTTCAGATTGTGATGAAGTCGATTTGAGTTTTAGAGTGTCCATCTGGTGAAATCAAATCCATGTCGCTCACTGCCTTGTGAATATCCTTGTGTTTGTACACACTACATCCAATCACCAAATCGTTGAGTGAGCAGAAGTCTACAAACAGTTCTCCATTCTCATTCATTTCACCGAGTGCCTATCGACTCATGATGAGTTCTCTTCCTGTGTTATCCGCTCCCAGTTTGGCATTCATATCACCCCAACCATTAGAATTTTGATGTCGCCAACTAGAGTGGGGTCTTTTTGATTACTGATTGCAGTTGTCTATAGAATTTCTCCTTCTCCTCTTTGTCTACATTATTTGTGGGTGCGTAGTGTGGTGTAGCATTGTATGATTGTGACTTTCCTTCCCTTTGAGTTGAATCTTGGTGTCATGATTCAGCTGGAGGAGGAGATTGGTTCCCACTGCATGAGAGAGAGAGTCTTCGATGCTGTTGGGGACATCATCATAGCCACTCGAAAACCCAGTGTGCTCGTGGTTGTCGTCTGGGTGAAAATGTCGAAGTAGACTAGTGACTCTCCAGTTGACAGTTTGAACAATCCACTCCCATTCCATCCACTTTCACAGATTCCTATAACTTCAATGCTATGCCTTCTCATCTCTTTTGCAATCTGGGTAGCCTTGCTTGGTTCAAACATGGTGCGGACATTCCATGTCCCCATGCTTATTTTCGCTTTCCTAGAGAGAAGACACATCGGCCAATTGGTTTCCCTAATGCTTTCACCAAGCGGTGTCAATTCGCCTCTCCGATTCCAGCGAGGAATAACTTTGTTTTTATTTTTATATTTTCTTTATGCTTTGAAGTTTCTTTAGCGATTGGATTAGATTTACGGGGTATGGTTTCTAGCCCTATGCCCCAGCTTCCCTCTTTATCCGGGCTTAGAATGGGCTAGTAACTGGTGAACTAGCTACCTAGGCGAGGTTGAAGTGCATTAAGCTGATTCTGATACAGTTATAAATTGCTAAGTAACCTTTTCATCTACAACAAATACAAACTCTTAATTTTCAGGTTTGTAGAGATTATTGATTTCAAGTTAGCATGCATCACTAACTGACAACTTGAAATCAATGCATAAACTCCTCAAGCCTCCCAACTGAATTATTATTCAGTTCTCACTAGTGACTTGCTTTGATATGAGATTTCCTGAAGTTCTGGTGCGAAGTCACATGACCTTTGGGACAAAAAAAGTTGGATTTGAGGACCAATACTCAACGACGGCACTGGTTGAAGGTCGCGTTACATACCGAAATGAGAAAAGTAGCATAATATTGACTATTGAATCCTATCCAGTAACTCGATGGTAACGTGCTTGTTGTCTAAACCGAAGGTCCTAAGCTCGAGCCTCGGCTGAGTCGTGGGTGCCCACTACTCAGCAGTCTCATACTGGGGCCCCCAGGTTTTCAGTGGTTCTCCAGCTGACTTCAATCCGTGATGAATACCAACTTAAATGCGAATTCTTTCGAGTATCGTCCTTCATCTGAGGATCCATTGCAAATAGTGATAACTCCCACTTTGATGTCCTATTCAGGAACTTTTTTCTCCATCCATCTAATCTTTCACATAAATCAGAAGCCAAACTTCAGAGGAATCGGCGTATTTTGCCCAAGAAGTATGAAAAAGTTATTATAAACCCTTGACACCAAAAATGACTCTGATCAATAGAACTTTACTTTCAAGATACCCAGCCTCAAATATGACCTGAGAATGAATGGATCAGACTACCAACGATTTTGGTGAAGTAACTCATGTAATAGTTACTTGAGTATAAGCACATACTACTGATATCGCAGCCTACGTGTATTCCTAAGTGAAGTCATAACTCAAAATTTTAACTACACTCTTACATATAGTCCTTATTTTATTGTTTTTGTAGATGATGAAGAGGAATTTCTCCATTTGAAATCGGACTTACTCAACTGCCAGCCATCTTCTACAAACGTTCAAGCAAGAACTTCACATAAAATGCTCAGTTCTGAATCTTCAGCACCTCTGAACAGGTATCGTCATCATCAGCATTATAAGTGTTCAGAACAATTGGACAGCAAATGTTCTGAAACAGCTATTACAATCAACCAGAATTCACTGCCTGTATTGACAGCTTCATTGTCTTCCACCACCTGTTCAGTTTCCTCTGGGTGTACAAATCAAAATTACTTAAGTTCTTTAGATAGTTCTGGTAGTAAATTACCATTACCAACTGATATTTCTTCAAGTATTCATCAATTTGTAAGTGTCACTTTTGTAATGATTCAGTGTACATTTGCCTTAATTAAATGCACCAACTAAAATACACAGTTTGATTATCAGTATGTGAAAAGCAGTGCACATTAATATTCACTAACTTGTGGGTAATTCTGGCAGACAGTTTGGTCTATCAGGGTTGAAATATATTCTGAAATAGTCTAGTCAGTGTGA